CATTTATTTATATATCAGTTAGTAGAAATTACCGAAATTCTTCTGAAAAGCAGAAAAAATGAAGCTTATTCTGCCAAAGACTTGTTGTGGATGTATAAAATTGAGAGCGGGAGTTATAATTATTTCTACGCTTTGGCTGGTAAGTTCATAATAATCGCATTGACATCTTGTTAAATATACGTATAAATATTAATGTATTAATATATTTTATAGATTTATGCACTATATAATACACTTTTAGGATGTTTAGTTATCGCACACAGTCCAAGTATATATTTGAAATTTGAAAAACTGAATCGTTTTTAATACTAATTAATTTTCTTGGTTTTCATAATCTTGCCGAATCAACAGTTGAATCAACAGTTGAAAACTATCGAAATATTTTATTAACCGAGCGGATAACTTTAAAAAAATTATAGATACAAAAATGTTATGAAAATCAAGAAATAACGTTTATAAACAGTAATAGTAATAATAATAATATTCTTATTATAGATGACGGCACTGCCTATGTTTACACTATCATATATGCGTTATTTAGTCTTGGTGCGATTTATGGTCTTGTAGCCGCTTGGTGTTTTGTAAGTATTAATGTTAAAAGAATCGTAAAGAATCGTATCAGTGGATTTGTATATAAAAATAATTTTAACAATATCGTTATAGTTAATTACTCAAATTATTTTTAAATATTTTTATCCGCCGATATGTGATCAGATTTTCTTTAATTTATTTAATATTGAATTTATTAACATTAATATTAATAATATAACGTTGATAATATATCGTAGAATACGTCTAGAAATTTAAAACTTTTTTCCATTTTTGCCAACGTCGTTGTCACAATTCTCATTGCTAAAGACATTGCAGAAATTATTTACACCATTGTGAACAGAAAAAATTATCTGAATGAATGTCTTAGTGATCCTTCGAATAGTTCCAATTTCACTAGTTCTGATCTGAATGACCTTTGTCTCAATTCCTATAACATTGCTTTGATATCTGCAGTTATTGGTGCAATTATTGATACGATCGTTTTGGTATGTTTTTATCCTGCCAATTATTTGCAATTATTTGCAATTATTTGCAATTATTTGCAATTATTTGCCAATTATTTTTACTTTTTTAACGTTTATTTTAATAACAATTATAGATATATTTTGCCATGATCATCGCTTCTTACGCTGCAAGCCGTAAGAGTAAAGAAATTAGTGGTGAAAATAGTACGGAAAATGGATCGGAAAATAATACAAATAATGTTAGCTCGGAAAAAGAATACACTAAAAAACTTGAACCTTAAATTTAATCTCAGAATGTACTTTAATATATTCCCACGATTCAAGTTATCTGTACATTCACATGTATTTTTACATCAATTAAATTCAGTAATACGTCATAAATGATTCATTGTTTAATGTTTACGTAATTCTGTATAAATAAAATGCATCGCCCGACTTCCTGTTGAAAACACAACTTTACACATAAATCTTGAAAAATAAAACACGCGAACAAAGAAGAATAATAATAATGACTTCTCCTACTGATCATTGTGTCGCTGATTTTTCCATATGCGCCGTAGGCTCTGGCGTTAATATGTCCAAGGCATGTGTAAGATTCTAAATGTAGCCGATATTTGGTTGTGACAGTTCTTGATGGTTTCTCTATTTTTTTACAAATAGTACATCGTCGAAGTTCATAAAGTTTTGAAAACAACCGGGTAATCAAATCGTTTCTTCTTTTTGATCCCTTTAATTACAATGTTATTAATGTTATTAACTTGCTTTATTTTTAAGCTTAAAATACAATTTGCACGCTTATGGCACTAACATCGGTTCGTTTTCATGATATTCTCTATTTCATTATTACTCCTCTATTTCATTATTGCATCAGAATTCGAGTTCGACGACGAAAAATCATTGGGGATAGGATATGAAAAGATGGAGTGGATATAGAAAACAT